ATGCATGGAATGGCACTGATTGGTAAATATTCCCTTTAATCAGGTGAAAGTTTGTTGAGAGAAAAACACATTTTTTTGCAGAAGTGACCTGTGCAGCGAAGAACAGTTAAATAGTTGACATCAATGTTGTGTCCATTTATTTATAATACAAAGACGTTTCTGGTTTACAATTATGGAACGTGTACGGATCTGTATCTATGTATGTTAAGTGTAAACATTGCTTCCTTTAATGTGTTCTTACGATTGTGTTGTTCATTTTACTCGGCTTAAATGACCCGTTATTACATTCTTGTTATGGGCTACTTCATATATTCCCACCACTGATCTAAAGGATACACTTAATGCAAATTGACGAGCAGTACAGCAGTTAAATAGTGACAGGTCTCCCTTGCAAAATTTATTTGTCTCAATGCTGATGGTTCTGATTCATTATGCTGATGGTTATTCAAAACAGATGACGATTTATAAAAAAACTCTTAAGTGATTGACGTTTGCGACTGACGACGATGTTGATGAAGGATACCTCTTAATTGAATGACAGTGAAGTATTATTACAATTATAATTCATTGTAATCTAACTATTGTTTTTAAATGTAATCACTGATGATGGTTATGATGTTGACCGAACACTCACTTGTAGGTAGTCCACGCGGCTGAGATTAAGTTCCATCATCTTTACGCTTGGAGTCTTTATAAACAAAATCAACAATTAAATTTAGCAATATCAACAAATATAAACTCTACGAACAATAAACAGGGTCAGGCGAGCCTCGGGCCTACAGTTTCAAACACGGCGCGTTGCAGCTCGCGGTACGTCCGCGGCTGCGTCAAGGCGAGCCGCACGAAAACACAACGATCTCCCGCTTTATCTTGCTATTGTAGTCATTGTTAAGTTATTTGTTTGTTGTTTGTTATTGTTGGCGTTTAAATGCCGAGTCGCTCATAACGGGAGAGGCTTAGCGCGCCCGTTGCCATGGCGATGTCGTGCGGTGCCCGGGCGACCGCTCTCCATTGGCCCAGACGCGGGCACGTGACCATTGGCCCAGGCGCGAGCACGTGACCGCAGGCGTGGCCATGGGTCGGCACGCACGTGGCTTTACTGTAATGACGTCATCCATTCATTCATCCCTCTGAAGATGTATTCAATCAGCCATTCTCTAGCCACTGTTGGGTGATAACCACGCTTGTTTAGAACAACACCTACCCCCCCCCCCCCGTAGTAATGACAACGGTGAGTAATGCATTTTTTATTTTTTATTATAAAACGCCGAAATGGGTCGCAAGACACGACAGGATTTCAGGACGGGTCCCCGGATTGCGATGTTTGGGCAATTATCTTCTTTAAATAATAATAATTACAGATTACACGTGTATATATCGCCTTTCGCAAAATCTCAAGGCCATTTATATCAATGGCAATGGGTGTGGTGGTGAGAAATAAGTGGCTGAGTTATAACAGAAAATGCCTTCTGGTTTGCGTTTTTTTCCTATCGCAGAAACAAACGTGATCGACGTTTTGGGCAATGTCCCATGTCACACAGTGGACGCTAGAATGCTGCACATTCAGTATCTGGTTCCATCCATTTGGTTATCTTAAAATATAAAGTGTATTTGTAACGCAGTGGATCGCATACGTAGTGTTATTTCTATAAAAGCTGTGTTAATGTTTTTTTTAAACCATGACAATTTACAATACTGGTGATTGCAGTCGAGTAATAAACCTGATGTGCAATCGAAGCTACGATGTCGCGCAGTGGACTGGGAGATCAGAGAGAGGGGAGACGACGAGAGGAAGCAATGAGATGGGGTGCAAGAGAGAGTGAGAGGGGCTGGCGGAGAGCAGCAGGGATGAGGAGTGAATATTCGGACCGAGAAGAGGGGACAAGGACAGAGGACGGTAAAACAGAAGAGAAACGGAGGGGGGGGGGGGGAAAGCGCATAGGGAAGACAAAGAGAATGAGAGATTGGGGAACAGGGAGAGAGAAGGGGACGGGGACAGCGAGTGAGGAGTGGATGCGCAGAGCAGAGAGATTCAGGAGAGATCGCGGCAAGACAGAGATGAGACGAGACGACAGCGGAGGGAGAGGATGGAGATGAGAGAGACGGGGAAAGCGGCATGATAGATACAAGGAGAGCTAGCGGGCAATCAAGAGACAATGAGGGCGAGTGGGGGGCCGCTGCCCCACGGGACCCGCATCGCTGCCCACGCCGCAGCTGCGTGAGCTCTGCCGGCCCCTGCCCCCCCCCCACTGGCCCCCCACTCACCCACCCCCGCCCCCCCCCTGCACCCCCCCGCACGGCGCAGCTGGCACCGCCGCACACCACCAGAGCACACCCACAGGGCTCACAGCCAGTGATTACGACTGTCCTCCAACTCTTATAACCCCTTACTCTTAGGTTCTTTCGGTAAAGTCACGTAGGTAAAATAATAATGAAATAACATATTAATAATAAAATAAATTTTTTATAAATAAAAATAAATCAAATAAATCACGACGTTTCGGAAGCAACACAAGCCTCCGTCATCAGGTGTAGCTGCTCCAGTAAAATTACTGTCGCGTGTTATAACGCCATAACAACACCTGGGTCCACGGCCTCCTGCCAGCAAGCCTTTGACAATTTATACGCCCCCAATGTGCACCTAGGCTGGCACAAGCGCTGTGGTTTACGTCGCCGTCGTATTGTTTTTCGATTTAAAACGTTCGTGACTGCAGGGATTCATATTCTTGGTTCTTTCGGTAAAGTCACGTAGAAGGGAAATAATAAAATAATACATATTAAACAATAAGAAAATAAAATTCTCACTGTTTTATTTTTATTCTTTTATTATTTCCCTTCTACGTGACTTTACCGAAAGAACCAATTTGCTTCCACGTGTCGCCCCCCCCCCTCGTTAATGAAATGATCCAAACGTCTCAATCAATGCAGCATCTTGCTGCAAAAAGTCAAGAACCGCAGGATTTCTTGGGCAAATGTGTGTTTGTGTAAGTACATAACTACTAATTATTTGGTTCTTTCGGTAAAGTCACGTAAAAAATAAAGTATTTTTTAAATAATAAAATAATAAACAACAAAGAACCACTAATGTAGACTGTAGCCTGTTTATTAAGCTGGGTGAGTGTACTGGCAGTCTATAATATAAACTGTAGCCTGGTTATTAAGCTGGGTGAGTGTACTGGCAGTCTATAATGTAGACTGTAGCTTGGTTATTAAGCTGGGTCAGTGTACTGGCAGTCTATAATGTAGACTGTAGTCTGGTTATTAAGCTGGGTGAGTGTACTGACAGTCTATAATGTAGACTGTAGCCTGGTTATTAAGCTGGGTGAGTGTACTGGCAGTCTATAATGTAGACTGTAGCCTGGTTATTAAGCTGGGTCAGTGTACTGACAGTCTATAATGTAGACTGTGACCTAGTTATTAAGCTGGGTCAGTGTATTGGCAGTCTATAATGTAGACTGTAGCCTGGTTATTAGGCTGGGTGAGTGTACTGACAGTCTGTAATGTAGACTGTAGCCTGGTTATTGATCGGAGTGAGTGTTATGGCAGTCTGTAATGTAGACTGTAGCCTGGTTATTAATCGGAGTGAGTGTACTGGCAGTCTATAATGTAGACTGTAGCCTGGTTATTAAGCTGGGTCAGTGTACTGACAGTCTATAATGTAGACTGTAACCTGGTTATTAAGCTGGGTCAGTGTACTGGCAGTCTATAATGTAGACTGTTGCCTGGTTATTAGGCTGGGTGAGTGTACTAACAGTCTATAATGTAGACTGTAGCCTGGTTATTGATCGGAGTGAGTGTACTGGCAGTCTATAATGTAGACTGTAGCCTGGTTATTAATCGGAGTGAGTGTACTGGCAGTCTATAATGTAGACTGTAGCCTGGTTATTAAGCTGGGTCAGTGTACTGACAGTCTATAATGTAGACTGTAACCTGGTTATTAAGCTGGGTCAGTGTGCTGGCAGTCTATAATGTAGACTGTAGCCTGGTTATTAGGCTGGGTGAGTGTACTGACAGTCTATAATGTAGACTGTGGCCTGGTTATTGATCGGAGTGAGTGTACTGACAGTCTATAATGTAGACTGTAGCCTGCTTATTAATCGGAGTGAGTGTACTGGCAGTCTATAATGTAGACTGTAGCCTGGTTATTGATCGGAGTGAGTGTACTGACAGTCTATAATGTAGACTGTAGCCTGCTTATTAATCGGAGTGAGTGTACTGGCAGTCTATAATGTAGACTGTAGCCTGCTTATTAATCGGAGTGAGTGTACTGACAGTCTATAATGTAGACTGTAGCCTGCTTATTGCTGTGCGGGATGCACGGTCGGGGTGTTGGGGGGGTGTGTGGTGTGACGTCAGCACGCACGACCGGGCTCAACGTTGCGGGATGCGTGTGACGTCATCACGCAGGCGTGCGCGGTGACATCACCGCTGCGCGCTCGCCCGCCTGCGCGCCAGCCAGCCAGCCAGTCGGCAAAACTTTTTGTTGTCATATACTGTCGTATACTCTTTATTTCTTTCGGTAAAGTCACGAAACGAAAGAATATAGTACATTATTTCTAACTACGCGACTTTACCGAAACAACCAAAGAGTATGGGTTACTGCATTCACGAAAGCTTCAAATCAAGATTCTGCAGTATGGTAAATTAACCCACTGCTGGACAACCGTCACGTCGTGCATGGCTCCTAGAGGTCATTAGACGACGCCTCACCTTGCTGTTGCCCGTAGGAGCGGAGCACACACGTCGAGGGACGAATAGAAGCTCAGTACAACGATGGATTTCTCTGCCTACGTGTGCACGTGTCGTTGCCGCGACATGAACGTTGTGCTTCGTGATGAGCTTTAGTGGTGCGGCACCACGGACCGCCGCACATGCCCGCCCAGCAGATTGTGCAGAAGACGCGTGGATATCAGGAGAGCCGCGCCCAGGCACGAAGCACCATCATCACCCGCATCCACAGAGACCCCCTGCGGCTCGGCATCTCATCTCATCCCCATCTGCAGCAACAGCAGCAGCATCATCAGCAGCAGAAGCAGCAGCAGCCTACACTGCGCTCTGCGTCATTTTTTTTGTTTGTTTGTTTCTTTCTTTAAACAACAACAAAAAAAAACATCGCGACCTTGCCGCTTTCTATTTTCTATTGCTCGATCACCGATTATAACCATCATCATCATCTTACACAGACGCGCAGTATACATCACTCTGCTGTGTGTATGTGTGCTGTGTGTGTGTGGGTGTGCACGCCTGTGTTTAATGGTGATTACTGGTGGATGCTGTTGAAACGCGGTTAGAATTGCATCGCCCTCCTTTCGTCGTCTTCATCATCATCACCACCCTCCTCGTCGTCGTCCCCCAGCGGAGGTTTGTGTTGCACGCTCGTGTCCTCCCCCTTCTCTCGTCTCTCTCTCTCACAGAGCCATTGTGTTGCATGCGAGTCAGAGAGAGAGGAGGGAGGAGAGGAGACGTAGAGAAGAGAGAGGGCTGGGTGGGTGTAAGAGAAGAGAGAGAGAGAGCTGGCTGGTTGTAAGAGAGATGGATGAATGAATGCTCTCTCCATGTCCTCGTGCGTGGCTTGCAGGGAGCAGAAGGAGCGAAGACTTCGCAGCTGAGAGACGATCACGGCCTCCTGCCGCCAGCATCGCCGTGCACATCTTAGGTGAGTGTGCATGCCACCCCCCCCTCCTCTCTTCAATCATTCAATTGTTGTGTGTGCGTTATTACATACTGTGATATATTATTATATTTGTTTAACTGTGCGCACTGTCCTTCATTTAACTGAGAACCCATGACAGAGTAAACGTGGTTTTTTTCCCATGTAAAATATTTGGCGTATGTCACATTGAACACTATACAGTATTCGTGTGAATTTCAATTTAAAGCTTTCGTGACTGCAGTGATTCATCTTCTTGGTTCTTTCGGTAAAGTCACGTAGAAGGGAAATACTAAAATAATAAAAATTAAACAATGTATTGTATTTTATCATGTTTTCTTTTTATTATTTCCCTTCTACGTGACTTTACGGAAAGAACCAAGAAGAGTATTCGTGTGGTATCGTTTTATGATTCAACGATCCATATAGGATCCGCGTTTGAGGCAATTTCGTTGCTCCATCTCCTTGGTGGTCATTAAGAGTGGCGACGGCTTGGGGAGGTTTTCATCCAGCAGTGGATTTATCATGGCTAACGGTGACGTTTTACACTAAATCATAAATCAGAGTTTTAATTTCAGCTGGAGCTGTCCGGAGCTGAGCTCTGGAAAATACCACTACCTCCCCCACCATTTCTGCTGTCAGGGGGGGAGGTGTCCATGAAAATATAATGCCAGGTATAAATAATAATTGAATACACACTTATATGACAGCATATGTTTTCTCTTCATTTTGTGAAATACATGGGTTGTTATAATTCATTTATTAACATTTCTTCTCACATGGTGTTTTATTTTTAATACAATACATTAATTCCAATGAAATCAATTATTGACATGCCATCCATTTTTGTGTCATGTCAGAGGCCTGTATTATAATGAACGGTTCTTTATTTAAAATTCATATATAATACAATTAATGTAGTGATTTGGCTGAGCGGTGTGCTCTTTAGTGATACTGCAACATTTGCACGTTACTATACGGAACATCATATATTGTTTCCTGTACTCTGTGCATTGTTGATGTCCTCCATCTCAACGGTATTTGGGTCATTTGACTCTTTTAAACATCGATTGTCAATGATAATAATTGATCCATTGATTACACAGCGTTCAAATTCCACATTGTCTCCACGCAGTGTCTTGTAGGCGAACGCTCAACGTCATCTCGTAGGAGAGAAAGGAAGGCGAGAAGAAGACGTAACGAGGGGAAGCCGGCCGGTTGGGCCCGGCGAGCACAAAAGCGAGCGACCATGTCCCACACGTACGACCGCGACCTGGAGTTCGAGCACTTTGCCGAGCGCGATAAGGGCCGCCGCCACTCCCGTGGCTCTCGTGGCCTCAACGGGCTCCCAAGCCCCGCGCACAGCGCGCACTGCAGCTTCTACCGCACGCGTACGCTGCGCACACTCAGCACCGAGAAGAAGGCCAAGAAGGTGCGCTTCTACCGCAACGGTGACCGATACTTCCGTGGCATCGTCTACGCGGTGTCGCCGGACCGCTTCCGCTCGTTCGACGCGCTGCTCGAGGACCTGACGCGCACGCTCACGGACAATGTGAACCTGCCGCAGGGCGTGCGTGCCATCTACACGTGCGACGGCAGCCGCCGCATGCTCACACTGGATGAGCTGGTGGAAGGTAAAGCTCCGCCGCCTGACACTCTTGCCAAGCCACGACCCCTCTGCGAGATGTCACCGGCGTTTGTTTCAAGAGTTAAAATATATATTTTAAAATGTATATACATGTAGGCCATGTTGATGAACATCGAGTAACGAAAGCAGTGCGTGTGAAGGTGCTGGGGAAATTGTTTCGGGGAGCTGTGGAAGATGGTGCCTGCTTGGGGAGGCCTTCATCCAGCGTCATGGCTGATTCTGAGTTGGGTTTGAGTGGCTCCTTTTGAGGATTGTGATTTGTTAATTCCATCGTTCGTCAAAGGTACATCCAATTATTGGGATATAGTAGGGATATTTTTTGATCGAAATGAGGATGTTTTGTACAACGAATCTACAAGGATTGAACTGATATTATTATCTGTACTATGGTTTTGTCTGTTGGCAAATTTTATTTGCCATAGCAGCACATGTTAGAGAATGTAAGTGTCTTTAACAGCCACTTCGACGAGGGAATTTAGCACCCCGTTTTAAAATATACTGAAATGTTGTAACCACAAACTTGTGCATCTGTAGTAAGCACCACCTTCACATATACATGTATACGGTATATTTTAGGTACTGAATATATTGTATGTGTAACACATTGATCTCTTGAAAAAGCATCCATCACATACCACGACTGCATGGTGGCAATACTCTAAATGCAGTCTTCGAGACACCTAGAAACTGTTATTAACAGTGGACCGCAATAACACGGGTGAATATATCTATAATCGTAGATAAATTATTCGCCTATATCCACATAATCTTGAACACATCCAATTTCGGTGGATCTTGGAAGATAAACTGAGCTAAGCTTGATTCGTACACTATGGCTTTCCAGGTGTTGGAGTTGTGGGGCTGCACAATGGCCATGAGATGGTAGCGCTGTATGTCACCCCCTAACATGCTTGAGTGTCCTCCAGGTTCCTTGTTTTTCCTCCCACATGCCAAATGCACATAAATGGTACTGGCCAAACATCCCAATGCAGGACCGTCCTACAAAATGCAATTTGATATTGAGTGAGGCTTTTTAAGCTAATTGTTATGATTTCAATCAGTCTCAGGCCCCAGGCAGAGTGTAGTGGTCCTCACAATGAATTGTCAGGAAACCCTCACGCCATGACGAATGCAGGCTGATATTATAATGTCTAAAATCTGCCTTCATCATGCGCCTCCAGGTCAACCTCGGCCTGCCCTTGGGTTGCGTCCAATCCCGAGGAAGGTCAACAAATAACCTTTTGCAAATTGACGTGGTACAACTACAAATTATTAAAACATCCCAATTTTTTTTTGGTATTGTGGGTAAAATTCTAGTTCAGTTCCCACGATTTAGCAACGTTATCATCACTACTTAACAAAACTGTCACCACCGTTCACAAGCACTTCAAATGCTGGCGTGGGTGGTGACAGGTTTCATGTATTTTTGGCAAGGATTTTGGAACATTTCATGCTGCATTCTCTCCTTTGAATGCTATTCGCTTTGGGGCTCTCAAAGCTGGTGACATTTACTTGCATATATATGTAATAAGTATCCATAAGGCCAAATAACAGACAGTAATACTTGTGATTCCATAGCAGGGACCAGTAATGCACACTTAAAAACGTTATTATATTTCCCGCAAGATTTTACGCTTTGAAAGAAAACTCCCCTTTGAAATGAAATATAAGCAATATTTAGCATTCGAGGATGATGATGACACCTATGGGGCAGATTCATTTACCACCTCAATATCCTGGAATTTTGTGAGATATTATGGAACACCCTGTCATATTGTGGAACATTGTCATATTGTGGAATGTTAAATCATATTGCGGAACGTCGTGTATCCTTCTGTCAAATTGTGGAACATTGGATAATATTGTGGAGCATATCTGTGTGTGGTGTGTGATTCACACTCGGCAGGCGAGAGCTACGTGTGTGCCTCCAATGAGCCGTACCGCCGGCTGGATTACACCAAGACGCTAAATCCTAATTGGTCGGTGAACATCAAGTCCTCGGGTGGGAAGGCACAGAGTGCGGCGGGCTCCAGCCGGCAAGCTGTGGCAGGTGTCTCCAGTAAGTCAGCTGCTCATAATACACATAACAGGTGGCTGGCTTGTGGTTTCTTAGGGCTGGAATTCAATGTTATTTCTGGTTAAAAATGCATCACTTTTTAATGTCATAATCTTCATTGCAGTGGACAGCCACAAATGGTGAGGAGAGGCCGTTAGTAGAGGTTGCACTTCTCTCTCTGCTTAACTATCCTTGCCTGTAACATTTTGCAATGTGGGTCCCTGAGGTGGCTGGATGGCTCAAGGGTGGGAGCACTGAGTCAGCATGGCTGCAAACCAAGCTTCGCATCTTAGTTTCAGCCACCCCATGATTTAAAGTAGTTTTCAACTGCAGTGAGTTGATTTTCTCGTCCCGGTCACAAATGACTACAAAAATGCATGGCATTCATTTTAGTTTTTCACTTAATTTGGATAATTTTCAGTTTCCAATTTAATCAAATGAGTTTTACTAATGTGCAAAAAACGTTTAATGTATGAGTACATGTGGGAAAATACGCCCCCTAGTGTGTGGATAGCAAAGGTTACTTTCATAAGCAGTACAGGACTTTGAAATCGCCTTCTGTGGGATATTTTCTAACACACAGGGTGATGCACTGCTCTGATATCGTTTTCAATGGACACTTGGTCTCATGACATGATGCGGATAGTACAATTGGAATACAAAAAGGACAAAAAAGCCCCCCCCCCCCCCTGAGTAGGCCTCTCAGCCTTGGTTGAGCATGTGTGACACCAAATTGGGAGCGTTTCCTTTTGCCTCGTCCTTTCTACGCACCTGGTTATCAAGCCTTGGAAAACATACCTGCTTCTCTGCTGCATGGCATGCAGACTTATGCTCCTCCGCGACTGCTTGCTGGCATTTTGTTGCAATCCTTGAAGACCTCCTTTTTTGTTTGTTTGAATGCTATTTCAGATCCAATTGATGCCCACATTGATTTTTTTGGTAAGTATTGTTCTGAGTCTGAGCACCTTTGCAGCAAGTTAACATTCTGTAGAGACATGTATGTGTGTTTTTATGGAGGTAGCTGTTATTTGGTATTTTGGGGCTGTCATTGAATGTTATTTCTGGTAAAAATTTCACTTTTTAGTATCATAATCTGCATTTCAATGGACTACTTAAAATGTTAATATTCTTAGATTTGTTTTTCTCAAATTGAGTTTCTCTATAGCATTGGACATCTTTCCACCATAACCAGTCAAATGTACATTTCGTAAATTTTGCACGCATCTGTTCTTGTAAAACTGAAACCTGCACACTGATAGGGCATGACGACCTGAGTTAGATAAATGTTGGCCTAATGTTCTGTACGAAGAAGTTTACAACAATGTTTGCAAAGCTGATAATATTGTCATGTTCAATATATGCAACCCTCATTACTGTACATGAAAACATGGCATTCATGAGAATATGAGAATAGCCATGAATTTGAAGATGTTTTTTCTGATTTGATAATAATTGTAATTATTGACACTAAAACAAGGCATGGCAGCACTGCCCATCTCATTATTCGATTGTCACATTTTGGGGTGAGCGTTGATTCAAGAATTGATTATTTGTTGGCATTTTGGTGCTTGTAGTATTTGTAGTGGCAGCAGAGTCACTTAAACCAATTACATGCAACATATACTATATATGCATTCTTACACATACTATTTATTTAATTTATTGTGAATGTAATACTCACTTTTAATCGCTGTATCTTTGCATAAAAAGCATACACTTGTTACACTAATAAGTTTTTGAGTATGCAATACCACGCTTTTAAAAATACAATTTGATTATGAAAACATTGACATCCTAGCTATTACAAAATTTTGGTTTAAAAACATGCAAAGTAGCACATTTTTTATCTGACCAAACGAAACAATGACAAAAACCACAATAATTCTCAAATACACAGGTGGCTCGGAGTCACGTGATTTCATCCGGCCCAAGCTGGTGACCGTGATCCGGAGTGGTGTGAAGCCACGCAAGGCCGTACGCATCCTGCTCAACAAGAAGACTGCACACTCCTTCGATCAGGTGCTCACGGACATCACGGATGCCATCAAGCTGGATTCGGGAGTGGTCAAGCGACTCTACACACTTGACGGCAAGCAGGTGAGTGTGGAGTGGGCGATGGCCTCACTGGCATGTGGGTTTCGCTCGCACGCGCAACCCACGGTTCGCTACGTACGGCACGAAAGAAAGTTCAACATACGAATGTACATGCGAAGTGGACTGTGCCGTTTCCAACTTCTGTAAGGCCTGTCGGATGCTCTGAGCATTTGGCATGTGGACATCTGTGAAACTACTGAACATTTGCGAAAACGACTGGATGTCTGTGAAAACGAGCTTTATTGCTCATCATATTTATCCAGTATAAGTAAAGATTCTGATGTACCAAACACTCACTAAAGAAAGGGTGTCATGGATAAATAAAGTGAGGATTTCTTGGGTAAATAAAGGAACATTATTATTGGTTTACACTGGATGCTATAGTGAGGTAAATTAATTGCCCTCCATCAGTTTTAAATTCCACTGCTCAGCTGGAAGCCACCGCTCAGCTGGAGGTATAATCTATGCCGGTGGAAAACGTGCAACGTATTCAGTCAATTGTTGATTTTGAGAACCATGTAAAGACTTTGGGTAGCTCGAACCCGGTACACTATGGCCCTGGTTGCTGGACACAAAGGGCATTGATGGTGCATTAGCTTTAAAGGGGGATATGGCACTAGTGTTTTGTCGAAGGCATGTGTCCTCATAACTCCAATGTTCTATTTAAATTTGACGCATATAGGAATTTTTTTTTGGCTGCGCTGGTGTTTGCTGCACTGTCATTTCACTCACGAACCACCACTCTTAATAAATGTCCAATATGACACCATGGGATATATTTTGGAAAGCTCTGCAGCGGATTTACCAGAAGGATTAACATTTCACTGGCCTGGATCATGGTGACTCACGGGACACAATAGGTTGCAGCCACCACTCGTTCCGCATCTTACAATGTGCATATCAAGTCTTCATTAACAACGCTTCTTTAAATATTTCATGAGGCTTTGGAAGCCTCCTCCATATCAAGGGCAGTTCCACAAGAGGCATTGTATTTCTAATTTGTCTGCTGTCAAGGGCACTCTTAGCTGATCGTAATGGAGTACAGCATTTGTTATTAGACAGTTCAGGACAGCTGAATGCGTGGTGTGCAGGACAGTGTATGTATGTTGAACTTCTTTCGTACCGTACGTAGCCAACTCTGCTAATTGGAGGTATGGGGAGGGGGGATAACAAAATAAAAACAAAGACAACAAACTAAACACAAAAGTGGCATATCTGCGTGCAGACGGTGGAACTGCACCAGGGTGCTCAGTCCATAGGGGCCCAGGTGCTGGATTATGATTAGGGGGGTAATGGGACAGGGGGGGGGCCCATTTAATTCCTTGCACCAAGGGCCCAAGTCAACCATGCTATGCCACTGGCACAGAGTCTGTTTTGAGTACAATTTAGGCAGCTGAGTCAGGTGATGAAAACAAAAGGGCTTGCTTTGGCAGTGGTGTGGAAGAACAAAACAAAATTATTAATTGTCATTAATGGCAATATGAATATGTAAAATATGCTGACATTTAGGTAAGCGGCCCTCCTTCAGAGCAGAAATATGGCAGATTAGCTGTGAAGAAGCATAATGAAATGTCTTATAACAGAAACACATAACAAGCTGTTGTATGTGATGGCATTTCTTCAGAGCAGAAAGAAGACATTACCCAAATAATTATCGTCTCTATTTCTGGCATGTTTATATCACCAGGGAGTATTCATGATGAAGGTGGCGAGCTCATTTGCGTCAGATATTGATTTGTTTATAACTGTTAAAATATTCTTCCCCAATAACATGATTGGCATTACAATATAATTGTTGAGCTTTCCTTCAGCTCATCTCATTGACTTGGACCCAGATTAGCACAGCTCAAGACGGCAATCACATTTGCACGATGTGATCGCAAAGCTCGGATGTGATTGGCGGCACGTCTGCTGCACGTGTCATAATGGCGATCCAGTTCACTCTCGCAAATGAGAATATTTTGCTTTCCTGATTTCTCACCCGGTTAAACAAAATAACCTTGACATTTCATAGAGCTGCATGGTGTCCTGCAGAGCGACCAACAACCTTCCTGCTCATGAGGCCCATCTGAAGGTCATGATGGTCATTTACAGGGGCGGCAGGAGCAGTCGTTGGTGATACAGAGTCTTTCTTCTTAACATTTCCTCTCATTAGCACGACCTCTGGGGTGGCGTTGGTGGTATCTTATTCATGCTTTGCATGAATGCATGTACAGCATGTTCATTTTGTATTGTTACACTGACTCATGCCTGATAATCCTCACGTTTTCAGCGGTAGGCTACTGATTGTCAAGCCATTTCAAAGCGTACTCTTTTTCAAAAGCAAAATGTGTGTACATTTATTATCCTCCAAAAATGATTTTAAAAGTCCATTTATGAGCTTGGCCTGTGGTACATTAATGGAAAATCTGTAGCGCAATGAAGTCCTTGGAGAGATATCCACTTGGTTTCACTGTGTAATTGGTGTGAGGGCTTGTATTTATTAATTAACTAATAAAAGGTGCGAATGTTCGGAAATAACTCATGGCACCGCTGTGAAATCTCACCACTGAAGGAAAAAACAATTTAAAAAATCACTCCCTGGGTGTGTTCGCACCCCAGTGTTGTGAATGACACTTGAAGGTCGACGTTTCAGAAAGCTTCTCTTTGGGTTGCCGCATCGATCGAGCACAGACATAAATGGCAATGGGTCGCGGAGCTCTTGTACAAGATAAGGATTACCCTTGAAAAGCCTGCCAATTGGCCTAAAGATCCATTTTTGAAGAAGAGGATTAAAATTGCTAAATTATTAGCACGTACGGACTGGCTGTACCAGCAGCCACTTGCTTTTTAACAAATCTCGCACAAAGGGGTCAGGTGATGTATGGACAGTTTGCCCTGCTGCCTTTTGTCTATATCGGTTGCGCTTGGGGCAAGCCTCAAGGGATATATTGAAGGCCAAATTGGAAATTGGAGGGCATTTTCTGGTGAAAAGGGAGCACACGTCCCTCGCTGTCACAGTCCCATGCTACTTCTGACCTCTCACCCTGAACGCTTAACCCTGCCTTTCACACTTTCTCGCCTTTTAAACTATTCACCTTTGTAGTTCATGTTACCCAGCGTCAGATCTCCCACTGTAGTGCTGTATTATTAATAAACATTGAAATAATAGATGCAATATCGCATCTCAAATGCTGAGACAGAGCAAAGGATCAGTGGTTTGTGCACTGTTCTATGAGCGCGGCAAACTGAGCGTGATTCCAGGCCATGGGTAACAGCCAAACTAAACAATCCCTGGCCGACACAGCAGGAAGAGGGTATTCATCCAGCATTTGATTAACAAAGGGTTGTTGTTAATTATTATCATCATCCAGAGTACCATAATTCTATCCATAATGCCCCAACGTATTTGCAAGTATAATTTATTTTGTAAAGCAAATTGTGAAAAAGCAATTCCCAAATGGAGATTATGGGGACCCGTCTAGGTTCCCAATGATTAAAATCTAATGAATTGATAGAATGTGGTTCTGCTCATTAGGCAGAGCCTTATGAAGCGACGACACGCAATGGCGCTATCTGTGTGCATCGATTCGTATCAGTTGGGTTTTGTGCTGGGGGATATGGGCCAATGCTGCGCCATGTCTAGGAGGGAGGTCCGCGAACATAAGTAGGTTATGTACTGTATACGCAGGACGACCCCGTTCACCAGCTCCGTTATTAGTTGAGCCATCATTAAGGGGATACGCTAATGCTGCAGTGGGAGCGGTGGCACAGCGATTATCGCGCTACACGATGAACTCGGGCACATGAGTTCAATTCCCAGGCAAGGCTAATATCAGCGGGGAACGATATCTGAATCCCCCTTCATTGTCAAATAACCCCTATGACTGACATGGCATAGAGCGGCCTTCACCCAGCACCGGATTTATAAAGGGCTGCAAAATTAATATACTTTATTTTAATTACGCTGTGAGAATTCATAGTGTTCGAAGCAAGTGGCCTTGGAAAGGATAATTCATCGAAAGGAATGACTGCAGATGGTCAATCATGATTACAAAGTGGCAGCTATTGAATGCAAAGTTACAGAGAGACGTCCAACGTGGAGATGGAGCAATAAAATCACTTCGTCTGTAGATAGTAGATGGATTTTTGAGGCAGCATCATGATGGATGGCGGCTGCTTGGGGAAGCCTTCATCCAGCAGTCGAATGACAGCTGATGATGAAGAATGCTCCACCCAGAGAAGCCTCGTGTTGGCAAATTGTGTGTATCGAGGCATTTTAAAATGGTTCTCGAAGGCTCTGTTCTTTATCCCACCTGCTATGAAATTCACGCCACGGATGCTGCAGATGCACACATTAGCACGGTCCCAGCTCCAAGGGAGTTCGTGATAAACACCTCTGTGTGTGATAAATTTGGTTTGCTCTGTATACCGTGGGCTAGCTGAATCATGGTGCAGCAGAGTGTGTGACACGTCAGGTGTAGCTGCAGAGATCACTAGCCTCGTAAATTTGTTGGTAGTGCCATCGTACTAATTATCTGGTTACTGGAAATGGAAAAATAGAGTTTACTTAAGCTGGTGCTTTAAAACATGTCCATTGAACTGTGGGATAACTGAAAAAGGCACCGTAAATTGTGCATGGCAAGCGCTGGCAGCAAGTTTGAAAAAAAAGTTGCATTCTGAGTATTCAAATGAACATCTGTCTGTGGAATTTTTTTCTCCACCAGCCATTCTGGAATGAACCAAGGCCCTATTTTTGGTGGCTAGTTTAAAATATAAATAATATGCTACGGGTAAGATGTCGTGAATGTCATCATGCTCATTCATTGCTAAATTAATTTACACTTGGGTGTACTCACAACATAAGAGTACGGTTAAATGCATTATCTCCTGTCATTTCATAGCCTCGTTGAGATTTCACCCCTGTCAATCCACTGCTGAATGAGGGCCTCCCACACCATACACATGGGGGGTGTTTGACCATACTTCACCCTGGTCAGTACAGGTTTAAAGTAGGGAGCATA